CTATTGGATACGTCTGTATGCAGTCGGCGCAGTTCTGCGTAAAAAACTCATTCAACATCATTAAATAACGGTGCCCATTAACAGTTACTGTTACACCGTTTTCTTCAAAGAAGTATGGCCCGACAATATACCTTGCTGAAATTGCGCACCACACAGTGACTCGTTCTGGGTGAAGTTCCGTCTAATGGATTATTTCTGGAGTTTATTCACTCCATATACGGCAACTTTTCTTTATAATTATATATATAAATTAAAATAATTTGGTTTTTTGCCAATTTTACAAGTAATTTCCGCCTGATTTAATGCAATTGTGCTATTGCTCATTTTGCGTATTTTTCGATTTGTCTTTTCGTTATTTGGTTATCAATATTTTTCATTTTCGCTAATTGATTCGAAATATTGTTAAAAATTATTCTGTCGCCAAATAAAACTATTTTTTCGTGCATTTAAATTCAAACATTAAAAAATTAGCCAGCCAAAGCTTATTTTCACCAATCTGTCTCCAAGTAAGGAGTTGACGGACTTAAAGTCCTTCAAGCAAGAAAAGTTGCATTTTATGTATGAAAACGGGTATTTTAGAAAATATTATGTTGCTAGACCTAATTGATTTAGAATGTCGACTCGACATTTGTTGAAACAAAATCAATAATTATAACAATTTTAGCCAAAAAGAGAACTTTAACTAACTACCAAAAATAAATCTGCCGAAATTTAAAGAAAGAATAATCAGAATTTGAAAATTTCATGAGTTTGTTTCAGAGTTTGGTTCATAATGATCCAAATATCCCAGATATTGAAAAATTGTAACCATTTGGTTTCAAATGTTGGATGAAAATTACCCGAAGACGTTGGCAAGTCTGAAGAAAGTTTATGATAATAAATGTTTATTGTTTGTGGTTGTATTTTTCAATACAATATCTATTTTTTTTGATATTCCAACAATCCCAAAGCCATCAGCAGCTTTATTGCGTACAATGATTGACAAAGTGTCAGCGGCATACAATTCATTGCTTTCACTGGGTGATGAAAAACAGATTACAAACGCCATAATTATTCTTATAGTGATGAAAAAGGTAGACTCTGCCACCCGATCCAAGTGGGAAGAACAACTGCTTTACGACAAGCTACCACTGTGAAATGACTGTGAAGCCACCTTAAATAGACGATATCAGCACCTAGCAGCGGAAGGAGTATCGTGTTCAAGGACGATGTCAACACCCATAGGCCAAATCGGCTTTAATTGCTGCAAATATAAAGCAGCTTATTTGTCAGCAGTGAAAATCAAAGCACCCCTAGTTAAGTGCTTGCCCCACTTTCAAAGCGCTTGCAGTACAACAGAGGTTCGAGTTTTCGAAATCGGTACCTTTATGCATAAATTGTTTGCGCAAGGTACACATCGATAGGATCGATGTCGAGTATGCAATCGATCCCATCACTCGTTGTTGCACCAGTATCCGATTTCCTTCCCCGCTGCATCTCATCCGCAACCATCCACCACACATGCTATGCATACAACGAGTATGCCGGATCAGGTAATGTTGTCGTCAGCAGTTATTCAAGTGAGGACCAGTTATGGAGAATACCTGCCTGCGAGAGCGTTGCTGGACTCAGGCTCACCTAGTCAACTTTATGATGGAGGACCGTGGCTCAGAAGTTGCGGATTCGACGCCAACACGCAATATTAAGCGTATTAGGAATTGAAAGTTCCAATACAAAAGTGGGGCCAAAATTAAGCGATAAGGTGGATCCAGAATTCAATATATCAAAACATTTTTCGATCTGTTCGCTGTTGTCCAAATGAAAATAGGTCCTAACCAACAAACACTACAGAAAACCCTTTTAGGGTGGATTGTATCTGGCAAATACGTCGGCAATTTAAATCCTCCTCCCAAATTATGTAGCACATTATGCCAAGCTGAAGAAGACTTAACGTCAATAATTTCAGTAGACCAAAAATGTTGGGCTCTAGAAGAATTACCTTTAGAAACAAATGGGATCAAATTCACACCAGAACAAAAAGTATGTGAAAAATTTTTCGTTAATACAACTCAAATATTGCCTTCAGGACTGCTTCAAGTCAGAATGCCTATTAAAGTTGATCGTAAATTACTCGATCACTCATATGAAACCGCAGTTTGGCGGTTTCAGGTCCTGGAAAGAAAAACGTTGTAAGATCCAGAACTTCGTAAAATGTATCTGGACTTTATGAATGAATACAAAGTATTGGGTCACAAGAGCCCAACGAGCAATAAGATCCCGAGTGAACCACACTACTTCATTCCGCATCAATGTGTTTTAAGACCCGAGAGCACAAAAACCAAATTACTTGTTGTCTTTGACGCTTCGAGTCGTACTAAATCTTAAATGGCATTCAATGAACTTTAAATAGTAGGTCCAACTATCCAAGACGAGTTATACTTAACTCCTCTTTGTTTTCGCTACCATAAGTATGCTTAAACAGCGGACATTACTAAAATGTATCGCCAAATAGTTAATATGTCACCTACACTGCTCCATTTCTCACAACATGGTGTTTGCTAATGCTCAGCGATGAAAATACGATTAAATATCCAGTCGGTTCATTAGCCATTAAAAGAGACTTTTATTTTGATGACTTAACAGGATTCGAAAGTTTCGAGTCTCTAGATCTTTTGAGAAGTGAGGTAGTTAAAATATTAAACTCGGCTGGATTCATTTTAACGAAGTGCTTTTCGAACCACCCTAAATTGTTGGACAGTGACTGCACTGAAAAGTCATTAAGCTTCAATAACAAAAATTCCACTAAAACATGATAAATCTATTGGTTGCCGAAAGTGGATTTGTTTCGATTGGTTTTAAAGTGATCTGCGAAAGCGAAATTTGTTGTCAGTCTCTGCTCGCCTTTTTGATCCTATGGGATTACTAGCCCCGCAAGTTACCAAAGCAAACCTTATTGCAAGAGCTCACTAGATTGGGATGAGTCGATTCCACTGCGCCTTGACACTAGATGGAAGAATTTCATAGCCAACATACTGCAGCTTTCATCAATAAGCATTCCTCGGTACGTAAACGTAGAGTCGAGTGCTATTTGCCAAATACATGGCTTCGCCGACGTCTTAATAAGGGCAAATGGATGCTGCATATATAGAGGTTGGTTGAAAAGTGAGTAGTGCTCATCAAGAAATATCACTACTAGCTTTAAAATTTTTTTTCTAAAGTTGGTACACCTGTCGTGAGAACACATGCAAAATTACAGAAAAACTTTTAACTCAATTATTGTTTTTGTGAATTAGTTCTTTGTTTACAAGCCATTTGAAGTTGCTAGAGTATTGTTTAATATGGAAAAAATTGAATATCGCGCAGTGATTAGATTCTTTGTTTTAAAAGGTTAAAAAGCAAAGGAAATTTATGAACAATTGTTAGAAGTGTATAAATAGTAAAAAATAAATTATTCAATATTCGGCGTCATAATATTAGTAACATTATTATTATTTTGATAAATAGCTACCCCACCTTTTGGAACAGTATCTCGTTTGACTTGAACAATACAATTAAAATTAGGTATTTCAATCGGATTATCAATGGTAATAAATTTCCACTTATCTTGGCTGACGATTTCAACATCAACTTCGCTGATAAAATATCAGAGCGGTTGACAGCTTTTCTTTCGGAAAAATTGAATTTGAAAATGAATAATGATCCACAAGAATCCACAATATCAGACCACCATTGCCGTGTCATTTTTAAGATATTTAGAGAATATCAAGTCTCAAACGTATGTCTCTTATTTCAGTTATCATCAACTTATGGTTTCAATGATAAAAATTCCTGAATAACCTACATGTATTGTAGGATAATAAAAATATTTGAAACAATATTAACTTCTCATTTATTCAATAAAAGAAAAAAATTGTTTTCTTATCGATCACCACGCTCAAAAAGTGTAACTTAAATTAATATAAAAAAAAAAAAAACTTGAATGTATAAGAAAGAAAAAGAAATATTGCATAAAAAATGAATAAGTAATTATAATTGCATAAATTGATAAAAACATGCTATGCAATAGCAGCAGTCCCCGTGTGCTTTTTACTTTACATACTTTTTGTTTAAATAAAAGTACTTACCTTTAAAACACTACGTTAAATACTCACCTTAATCTACTACAATAATTAATATAATTCATACTTCCCCGTTTTTTGTACATATTTACATTACCACTAGTTTAAGCCGTTAGCCTAAGTTTAGATTAAGTGATTCCAAGACACGGAATAAAGTATTCAATTGTAATTTAAATTTATTATTTGTTAATTTATTTTATCGGCTCATTCCAACTTCTTCATTGCGTTTTTAGAATAAATTCCACTCTAATAATCGGACACTCTAATAACCGGACGCGGACTTTTTTTTCCTATTTTTATGTTTTCAACAACTCTCCTAAGCGGACGGATGTTATCGAACAAAAGTGTGAACAAATCAATAAAAACCTTTGATGAGCGGAGCCGAAACTTTAATTTGCGGACAACGAAGATCAGTAAATGAAAGTAAAGTGTAATAACTAAACCGAGCAGCCAAAATCTACTTACATATGTATTTATGTACGTTAACATATAACGGGTTCTATGTGTAACAATTTGTAGCTTTTAGCATAAAAAGAACGCAAATTATGAATCATTTGAATCGGCTTTAGTTAAGAATCCCACGATTTCAGGATTAAAAGGGGTATGGTTGGATAGAGGAGCTTCTCCAGATTACGAATATATATAATTATTCCCACCGAAAACTTATAGTTTTCAAGATATTTACATTTTAAGTTGAAAATTTTACAAATTTTATTTTACAATTTCTCGATTTATGGTTAACTTTTCTGTGATATTATGCACTTATTATACACTAACACTTCACTACAATGTTTCTACATATTTATTTTATATAAAATATTTAAACATTTGCTTAAAATAAGCATTTTATTTTTACACAATTTTCGTTACATGAACAATAACAAATGGGTTCCATGGTGACAGCTAACAGAGTAGACGTCATGACGTGACGAGTATGTGGGGAATCAGCCGATGTTAGCCCCGAGGATGTGCAGCAATTCAAACAATACGGATGAAACTGGACTTTATTTTCCGTGCCTTGCCTAATAAATGATAAATGCATGGGCGGTAAGTTATCGAAAGAAAGGCTAACTGTGCTATTGTGTGCCAATATGATCGGGGATAAAACAAAGCCATTAGTGATCGGAAAAGCAGCACGTCCATGCGCGTTTAAAAAAATGCGATATAAAAACCTTGCCAGTAGAATGAAAATTAAATTATTTGTGAGTGGCTTCTAATGCTTAATAAAAAAATGGGCTCCAAGAATAGGAACATTTTATTATGTTATTTTATTAAATGTGCATGGAACAACGTAACAACAGAAACAATTAAGAACCGTTTTTCAAAAGTCGGTTTTCAAAAAACTCCGTGTTAAATTTTTGGTTTCGATACAGAGGAAGAGATTCCAATATCGACACTATCGGCTTTGATAAAGATTTTAAATGACAATGGACAAGAACAGTATTTGGAACACTTTTTGTAGTCGACGAAGTTCTTAATACAGAAGACAATAATATTGGTATTGTTATTGACGAAATTAATACCATTTTATTGACAAACCGAAGACTTAAATGAAGTACGTGTCCAGGAGGAAAGGCAAATTAAATCATATCCTGAAGCATTATAGCAACTTCGTCGCATAAACAATTTTGCTAGTGACGACATTTTTGGATTTCACTACGCCAAAACTTAAGAATACCCTCTTGAAAATGATTTTAAAGAACAAAAACAGGAAAAATTGCGACAGACTACGGTAGATTTTTGAAAACTTAAATATAAATTGATATGAGCATCAATAAACATAAACTATCTTTCAAAATAAACATGAAATAAATTGATCGTTTAGCATAAAAAGGTAATGAAAATTTATTTTATTAAAAAATCATGTATTAATAAATTTTACTTTCCGTTTTGTTCTTCAACTCCCATAAGCGGACACCCTCTACATATAGATAGGTAGGTAGAGTGGCTGTCGGACGACAAACCTAGGCCTATAGGAGGTTCATTGGGTACCACCGGGACTAATGTTCCCTCACTCTATTGTCTCCTCTCTAAACCAACCTGTGCTTCTGATGAAGTTCAGCAGTATAAATAGTTTTATGCTTATCGGAACGTCGTCTAGTTGCGATTATTTTCCAGTATAAAGCCTTACATTCGCATAGAAGATGTTACAGTCTCTTCTTCGTTTACCTCCTGACAGCTTCTACAATAGTAATTTTCCTTTTGCAAGTGTAGAGTGCCGTAGCTGCTTTCTTCACCCTAGCGTCTAATTTTGGTTTCCATGAAAGCTTCCTGTCTAAGATTAGTCTTAAGTAGCTTGCCCTAGCACCAATTGTTAGTCTGCTACCATTTAATACTGGCGCCGTAATTTCTGGAGTATTGTTTCCTGGTGAACAATACTAGCTCCGTCTTACTAGCATTTAAGTTTAGTCCTCAGAATACGGCCCAACGATTTATATCGTCTAAAGTTGGCCTTACGTCTAAACGAAACTTTCTCATCGTCAGCGCAGGCCACAACATGTACCCCTTTCTTTTCTAGATCCATCAGAAACTTATGCATTGTCATCCAGAAAAGTAGGGAGGTGTACCCCTTAGGACAGATCTGCACATCGTTGAAGCTCCCAGCGTTGAAATTATTGACCTGTTCGTGAGTATCTGTTCAATTAATTTTCTGAGAGGTTCAGAGATGTCCAGATCCTTAAGCGTTCTCCAATACTATATCTAGAAAGGCAATAAGAGCGTATTCTTTCCAGAGATTTTTCAATCTCCGCCACCACAGAGCTTAGTGTTGTTTCTGTGGGTTTTTCTTTAGAATACGCATGCTTCGAAACAGCTAACTTTTCTGATTTTAGTTTGTTTCTCATGTGTATTTCTATTAGCCTTTCCAACGTTTTTAGGAGGAATGAGGAGAGGCTAATTGGTCTGCAATCCTTTGGACTTGTATGTGAGATTTTGCCTGCCTTGAGTATGTATATTCCCATTGACTTCCCTTCTTATCGATAAAATATAGTTCAATTGCAGCACCCCCCTAAAGAATAGTTACTAGCCAATCTATTATGTTATTTTGCCACTGCTCTAATAGAGCCGGGAATAAACCGTCTGGTTTCAGCGCCTTGCAGGGCTTGAAGCTTTTTATTGCACAGCGTACGTTGCTTTCTGACATCATGATGTCGCTGTCTTGTGTATACTCTTCTAAATGGCTTCCTAGTAAGTGAGTATTCATTAGTAGGCCTACTAACTCTTGACTGGATATCATCCAGCTGTGGTCTGGCTTCTGAAGATATCCAATATACTTCCGCGGTATTCTCGATATCATTACAAAAATATTTCCAACAATTTATTTTTTCTCTTCTGACCTCCTTTTTGTATGACTTTAGGAGGTTGTAATAATTATCCCAATCTAACTCGCCTTGAAATAGCTTAGATAAATTGAACTGCTTTCTGCAGTCTTTCTGTAATTTTTTAAGTTCGGGACACCACCATGAGGGCCTAATTCTACCCCTACCTTGTGTTATTGGACAAGTCCCTCTAATGCTTGCCGGCAAGATTCCGTGAATCGTTTAACGAGGTCCTCCTTGTGTTCTTCAAGAAATTTCCATTGGGTTACCCTTAAGCAGGTTAAGCAGCTTTTCCGACATAAGTGTGATATCTAGTACTTATTGTCGGTTTCTTGTAATGGACGATGGAATACTACCTTTATTACACAACAGAATTTTAGTGACTAGTATAATCATATACTTGGATGGCTCGCTATCCCGTACCAATTCTGTTACCATCAGAGGTGGCACATGCTCGTCGTCGTATGGTATACAACTAGACACCAGCCGGTAAATGCTTGGGCCCGTTTATTATACATGCTCTGACTTTACCTTCACAATTAGCTATAAATAGCTTGTAGTTCGCGGTCCTCAATCTGCAAATAGGAACTCCATTAACCCATGGATCCTGAATGAGGGCCAACTCAGGCTGTTCTATTGCCAAGTGGTTAACTACGGTTGCTAAAGCAGTTTGCCGTGATGGAGATTAGTTTGTAGAAGACGCATTAACTATTGTTATAACTGCATCTTTCTGAGAGTCGCTTAAAAGCTCTCTCTCAGTTTAAAGGTTTGAGAGTATGTCAGCAAGCTCAGACCCGGAAGAACACGCACCTTGCTATAAACTTTCTACAACACTCGGGGACTCCATAGGATCTTCTTCGACTTCGCATATCTCGTGTTCGGATGCTAGATAGTCTGCAGCATCAGCGTTCGACTTGAAGGGTGTGATCCTCACCTTCGGAAATCCATAGCTGATCTCTCCGCCAGTTTTCGCCGGCGCTTCAATGGATTCCTTTGTAAGTAACAGCAGAATCCGCATCGTAGCCCTTTTGGTCTCCACGCCAGATTCTGCTACGGGGTCTTCGAAGGCTTTGCCGAATTTTTACCCCACCGTAGGCAGACTCGAATTGCAGGCTCTGATGAGCTGCATAATCTGGTCCGGCTGTGATGGTGTAGCCGGGATCCAAACCATTGCCCTTGGATGGTATGTCCTTTTGTATACTGCTACCAATTTAGCTCCGGATATACCTCCTCTACCTTGGCTATATTTTTATATAGTGCGACCGATCTCTAGTCTCCGCACGCAATCCTTTTGATTTGGCCCTGGTACCAGCTGGCACCTGCACATGACGGTAGCGGACCCGGATTGCTTAGTAGCATCTCCAGTGCCTCATTTGTCAGCGCAGCCTGCACCCATCTCTTTTCACTACACTTTTCTCAGTACGTATGCCGCGCATCGCCTCTCCGCATACCTTGCCTTTGTCGAGTCCTGAATTTTAAAGACAGCAGCAGCCCCTTTAGCAACTCACCCCTCCCTTTGCTTAGCAGCCGCGCATTGGCCACAGGGTTTCAATCTCGCTGGCTCATAACAGGTCCCACGAGTGTAGGAGAAAGTATGTCCGCTTATGCATAGCCGGTACACAAGTAAGGCTATCATATTACGAAGAGCGCCAGGTATCCATAAGCTCCGTTCGAAACTGGGCTATTTAAGGGCCCTCTTGTACCCCGACCATAGTAAGGTTTTTTATCTGTATGCTGTATTATTGAGGTACAACGAACACACAGGTAAGCAGTCTGACCTTAACTAGATTCCTCACAGCTACGGCAGGGGCGGACTGTTCCAGCCCGTCCTTGCTTACGTCGTGAAACTGTGGGATCTATTACCAGTCGGCACCCTCGGGGAGGGGAATTTCTGCCGACCGGATACCCCCTATAAGCGGTCAAAAATTGTGGAACCGTGGGTGTCCGATTGTGGGAGGTTTCACTGTATATATACGTATACATATAGTTTTATACATACTGATATATAAGAATATAATCGTAAGCAACAAAACAAAAAAAACCAGAAAGGCGAAGTGACGTGGAGTGTTTAAAATTGACTTACCTTATAAAAGAAAAGAGAAATGAAAACGGGGTACATACAAATGAATGCGCGGAGACACTAAAATAGTGTAGCAACAAAATAAGTGCAGCAACATATGACTTACAAAGTATATGTGCATATTTATGTGTGTATAAGGCATTTTCGTGAAACGGTAGGTACAGTAAGTTCTACAATAATTGTACCAAATTGTTAAATGTCATATACGCGAACGCGATTAAAAGAAATTACAGTTACATATATATTAAAACAGTTTGGTTTTTCGTAAATTTTTTTCGATTTTCATACAAGCGTTTTCCGCGTGATTTAATTCAACTGTGCTATTGCTCATTTTGCGTATTTTTCGATTTGGCTTTGCCTTAGGAATCGATATTTTTCATTTTCGTTAATTGAGTCCCAATATTTTTAAAAATTATTCTGTCGCCAAATAAAACTATTTTTTCGTGCATTTAAATTCAAACATTAAAAATTGAGCAAGCCAAAGCCTATTCTCGACAATCTGTCTCCAAGTAAGGAGTTGACGGACTTAAAGTAATTAAAGCGTCAAAGAACCGTATGTCCCGATTGAAGAATGTCGGCTGCCAATTTAAAATTGAAGAGATTGATAAAGACGACATTTTTAGAGGACATAATTGTTGAAACAAAATCAAGAATTAAAACAATTTTAGCCAAAAAGAGAACTTCAGTTGTCGAAACATCTTTCATAGCATCTCACAACTCAAGACTCCCAAAAATAAATCTGCCGAAATTTAAAGAAAGAATATTCCGAATTTGAAAATTTCATGAGTTTGTTTCAGAGTTTGGTTCATAATAATCCAAATATCCCAGATATTGAAATATTGTAACCATTTGGTTGC